CTGCTGTGTACAAACTTTCTTAAAAAATGGAGGATGAAAAGAGAAAGCTTATTGGTATGGTTCAAAATCTGTTTCTACTCATCTAAAAATATAAAAATATGCTCCTTTCGTGTTGCATGTATCCTTTTCCTTCTTTGCTCTCCATGAGCTCTGTTTCTAATGAGCAAACTGGCTTGTTTAATTTTGGCTGTGCTATGATTATAAATGTTCCAGAACAAGACTGTATTTATTAATTGAAGCTACTACTCATTAAGGAAGTCTAATCTCTGAAAAATAAGGCACTTAAATTTAGAGCACATACAGTAGTTCCCCAAGTTATTAATCTACTAGGCACCAGAATTTCATTAAATTTTTCCATTTAGCAAAAGCCCAAAGCTTTGGGGCCTGCAATAAAGATGGTAGCAATGCTTAGCAAGTGGATTATAGTTGAGACAATAGTAAATGAAAAGGGCAGACAATAATACTGACTAGCAGAAACTGAGAAAGTAATATTTTAAAAATAAGCTTTCTAAAGTCATGCATTTTTAAAATAGAAAGTGTTTTTAGTTTATGAGCTGTGAATGACTAGACACAATGAGATTCTTGGCACACTATTGAAATTTTAGTTGCAGGTTCTGGTCACTGTGTCAAAGATCTCTGTTGTTTCAAGTAGAAAAAATGCAGCAGTCCACTTACTGTTGGAATGTTTCAAAGACAACAGCATTCTTTTTCTAAGCTACTACTTCATAGTTTATGATCCAATTCAAATATTTTGGCACTAGTATTGAAACAGATCTATACTTTCAGCCTCAGTAAGACCTTAGTGGAGTTATTGCTGCTATCTTCCTGGTCAGTTCATACATTTTAAAGAATCTATAGTAAAGAACCAATGAAATTGATAATAGGCAGAAAGAAAAAAAAAGACAGCAAATGGAAGCCACACTTTCAATGAAATATCTTACTTGCTTTTAACAAAAATATTATACTGTATGTTCTCAATCTTTTGTTACTTTTCTGTACTGTATTTGTATCAGTATATTTCACCTTAGAAAATGAGCTCCACGAGAGCAAAAATGATGTTTCTCTTCTTGTTTTTTTGATGTTTCTTTTAAAATTAACTTCTGTGTACAAGTGCCTAGTCCAAAATTAAGCACACTAATGAATTAAATGGATTGGTGGATCCCAACCTGGTTGTAGAGGGTGCCTGCTGGATTGTCGGGAGGGGTTTGTAAGGAGTCCAACAATTCATATGTACATCAAGCATTGTCATTTTGATCTTTATTTCTTTTTCCTTTAGCTTCAAGGTAATATGTATCATGACTCAGTATAACAAATAAGCAAATATATCTTTGTATGCTGAATAAATCATGGGATCATAGATTTAGAATTGAAAGAGACCTTAGAGAACATTGAGCAACACCTTATTTCTTACATATGAGAATACTGGGGCACAAAGACATTAAGTGACTTGCCCAGGGTCATCCAGCTAGTAAGTATCTGAGGTACGATTCAAACTCAGATCTTCCTGACTCTGAGACCAGTGCCTGATCCACTATACTATGTTGCTTTTGTATGATATATACATAAATACTTTTTTCTAATGTATTCAGGTGCTGTTGTGATTAATAAAGTACAAATTTCTCTAAAAGTGTATCAGATGGCACTAATTGTCATTGTGACCTGAGCTGCCAGTGTCTTAGCAAGATGTAACTTTCTGTTTGCTCCTCTCTCAAAGGCTAGTCTTTCCTTTCAAAACCAGATCTCCAAGAATAACCACTGGTGGTTTGAAAATGAAAATACCTTCACTCATTCCTTGCAGTCTGCTCTTTTACCCACTCATGATTTATTTCTAGTGATAGCTGAGTCCTGAATTCATATGTCAGCTTTGTCCAATCTAATACCTCTTTCCTACTTTTAGCTCAACTGCTTTAGTCCTCAGATCAGCTCCTGATGACCAAACACCTTTTTCTTGTCCCTAGAATAAAGAAAATCTTTCTCTCTTAACCTCTTTTTATTTGTAATCCTTAAATAATATGCACATGGAGCTTAGCATTTAAGCTGGACAACTGGATTTTTTGGTAGGCAATGTATATTTAAATTTAAATAGCAGTTAAGAAAGAGACAAGTTACCAACCCAGCTTACTGGAAGAGGGAGGAACTACTTTTTGCTTAGATGTAGAAGAGGTCCCTAGGGGCCCTGGCTCAGGCATTCCCATTGGGCTGAAGTACAGGATCAGTCTAATTTTTCTGGTAGACTGTCATGACATCTCTCAGCATGCTCCCTACTTCCATGCTCAGCTGTCTAAAATTTTCTTCCTGTTTTCTCAGTGATCTCATGTCTCCTTTTCCCACAACTCTTTCTTTTCAAAAGGATAGGGTAAGTCTGAGAATCAAGGTCAGTCCCTTTCCCAAGTCTCTTTGTCCCAAAGCATGGCCACAAAAGTGTTCCTGAAAGCTAACATGAGTTAGCTTTCCCCCATCATTTATTTTCTTAATCAATGGATACTAGCTGTATGGTACAATAAATAAAAGGCAACATAATATGGTGGAAATGAATGCTGATTTTAAGTCCTATTTCTTCTACTTACTTTCTGTATGACCTTAGCAAGTCAATTAACTATCCAGGCGTTAATTTCTTCATCTTTAAAATAAGGAAGTCGGACTAGACTACCTCTTCCATCTCTAAATCTATGACACTATTGCTGGTAGTGGGGGGGGGGTGCAATAATTTTATTTTTTAATTTTAAAAAGAAGCACTCATCCTGGAAAAAGGTTGGGATTCACTGAAAAAAGATGTTTGATTATAAATGTCCTATTTTTTATTGACCACAGTCAATTTTTTAAAAAAATGTTTTCCCTTGTGCTTTGTAGGAATGGCTCATCTCGTTACTGCTGTTATTGTATTTATTCCTCTTTTCAAAATATAATCAAGTTAATCACTTTTCTGAACTGTCTCCCATGCCCCTGGGTCGAGTAGATAAGTTTAATGACTCTGACTTAGTAGTTGCTTACACACCGATCTCCAATACAACCCAGAAGATCATGGATAAAATGGCTGCTGCTCCCTTCATGAAAGGTGTGTGGTCAACCAGTTTGAGGGTAATATCTGATATCGTTGTTCAATTTTTTCAATTCAGTTCAACAAATACTAATTAAGTATATAACAGATACAAGGCACTGTGCTAAGAACTAGGGATACAAAATTTTTTTTAAAAGGCACTGCCCATCCTCAAAATTACTGGGAATATGGCTACAACATGTACACCATTAAATGAAAACAAAGTGATTTCAAGAGGAAATGAGCCCTGACAACTAAAGACAATCAAGGAAGGATTTCACAGAGGGCATAGGGGTCTGAGCTGAACCTTGAAGAAAGGTAAGGAGTCAGAGAAATAAAGATGAAGAGGGAATGAATTCTAGGCTTGGAAAATGCTTATACAAATGCCTGGAGATAGGATATTGAGGCCTTGGAGCTGCTGGTGGATGAACTATACTGGAGCATTGAATATGTGAAGGGGAGTAATATAATGTAAATCTGGAGAGGTAAGTTGCAGTCAGATTGTGAAGAAGTTTAAAAACCAGGCTGAGGAGTTTATATTTTATCAAGCTGATGAGGAAGCACTGAAGGTTTTTGACCAAGGGGAATGACATGGTCAGACCTATGCTATGGGAAAATTATTTTGGTAGCCATGTAAAGGATAGATTGTTTAGGAGAGAGTCTGCAAACAGAGACAGAAGTTAAGATTTTTTAAAATAATAATCCAAGTGAGAGACGAGGAGGGCCTAACCCTCAATGGTGAGTATATAAGTTTAAAGGTGACATATATTAACAAAGCTGTGGAATTGGCAACTGACTGGGAGTCAGGAGGGCACTATGAGAGAAACAAAAAAGTCAAAGATGATTCTCAGGCAATGAATTAAGTTGCTAGGAAGATGGTGATGCATTCAACAGAAATTTGGGAATTAGAAGGAAAGGAAAGGTTAGTAGAGAAAATAATGAATTCCAAATAAGACTTGTTGAATTTGATAGGCCAACAGTATACCTAGGTAGAAATGTTCAGCAGGCAGTTGGAGATGTGAAATTAGTGATTAAGAGAGAGAAATAGGGAGATACAGTATATTAAAGAGCAAAAACAAAATGTGTGTGTGTGTATGTGTGTGTGTAGGTTGTTTAGTGAGTTCCATGGGAATCTCCATCAGCTTCTTTAGACATCTTCTCCTCAATGGCATTGTTTTTTCTGCCTTCAGAATTTTATTTCTATGATTTCCAGGCTGACTTTTTTTTTCTATCAAATTTAAGTTAATGGGATCCTACATGTCATTTCTCCGAATCTTTGAAATTTTTCTCCCCAAATCTAGGGTACATGTCAAACTATGTCAGGCTTTCCACTCCTTCTCAATCACAAATTCCAAGATTCAGTTCCCATTATTTTCATCTAGGTTCCTATAATTTCCACCACTAGCGACTAGATCATGCTTATTAGTAGGAATCTTGTTGGTAGAACTTCCCCTGATTACTCTACCTTTTGTGGAGTGGGATTCTTTATGGTAAATCAGGAAATCAAACAATCAATAAGTATTTACTTCATATTCACTACACTATGCTAAGTACTGGGAATAAAAAAAAAAACTTTGAAAAAATTACCTACCCTCAGCTTACTTTATGGAAGAGACAATGTGTAAATAACTCACTTCACACAAGCTACATACAGAGCAGATGGAAAGTAAGGTTAAGAGAGAAAGACTAGCCTCTGAGAGGATGGGAAAATGACTCCCAATGAAGATAGCATCTGTGCTTGAAGGATGCCAGAATGATCAGGAAGGTTGCTTAGAAGTAAAGATAAGAAAGCAGGGCATTCCATGTGTGGAGAACAATCAGTATAAACACAGGGAGATAGGACACTGCCATGTCTGGGGAAGAGCAAGTAAGCCAATATGGCAGGATTGTGTTGTGCATGGATAATAAAATGCAAGCTGACTGGAAAAGGAAGGAAGGTCCTCTTTGTGAAGAGCTTTAATGGTTAAATATTTGATCCTCTAGATAATAGAGAGCCACTTGAATTTTTTGAGCAGGGAGGATGTGGTCAGACCCATGCTTTAGGAAGATCACTTTGTTAGCTGTGTGGAAGATGAATTGGAGTTTGGACAGATTTGAGGCAGGGAAATCAGAAGACATGGCAATAGTATGGGTGAGTGGTAATGAAGGCCTGAACCAAAATGATTGTGTTAGTGGAATGAAGGGGGCCATATACAAGAGATTTTCTGAAGGTAAAAATGACAAAACTTGGCAACAGATTGGATATGTGGAGTGAGTGAGACTGATGAGTCAAGGAAAACAATAAAGTACCAGGGTGTCCTGGAAAATCATGCTGTCTTCAATAGTAATAAGAAAGTTGGGAAGAGGGGAGGGTTTGTGAGAAAAATAAGTTGTTTAGGACATGTTGAGTTTGAGATGTCTCTGAAATGTTGAGTTTAAGATGTCCAAGAGGCAGTTGGTGATGCAGCACTGTAGTTCAAGAGAGAGATTAGGGCTTGATACACACACACACACACACACACACACGCACACACACATACAAATTTTAGAATACCACATTTGTATATATTTACATGTATATATACATACACATGCATGCATGAACCTATATGGACATATGTATATGGATATACAGTACGTACACACACACATATGCACACCCATAAAGCGTTCCAAAAGTCTAATGTAGTTTTAAGTTTTTGAAGTCTAAATTTAGGTTTGACAATTAAGACCAGTGGTAACTTTGGAGACAGCAATTTCAGTTGTATGATTAGATCAACAGCTAGAATGTATAGGGTTTAGAAGAGAATGAGGAGAGAGGAAGTGGAGGCAGCTAAAATATCAGCTGCTCCGATTTGGGGAGAAAGGATGATCTTTCAGATGTTTGGATAATGGAAGTCCCCCATTGCTACTAACAACATATCCCCCCAGCTAGTTTTGTGATCTGCTTTGCAAATTCCCCATCTATCTTCTATTCTCTCCAGGTGGTTTGTAATATCCTCCAATCACAATATTGATTCTATTTTTGCCTCTGTTTATCTTTGTCCAAATCCTCTCCACCCTATTTTCCTATCTTTGTTTTCTGGAAGGAAGATACATGAGTGTATCTTCTTAACATATAATACTACTCTATGTACCCCACCCCACCCCCACAACCATTTTGTCTTTTGTCTTTTTTTTTTTTTTGAATAAGAGACAACCTTTCAGAGCCATATTCTTGTCATGGGTCCCATCTTATCAAGTTTTAAATTTCTCACTAGCTCATTTTGCTCATTACACAGATTTTAAACTTGTATATATATATGTGTGTGTATATATGTATGTATTGTATTTTGCATTCAAATTTTGCTAAATAGATTAATTATCAAAGTGTCTAGCTTAGAGGTTTTTAACTTTTTTGTGTATCAGGGACCCCTTTGAGAATCTTGTGAAGCTTATTTGCCCCTTCTCAGAATAATGTTTTTAAATGCATAAAATAAAATATATAGGATTTCAAAGGAAACCAATTATATTGACATGCAGTCATCAAAACTTTAAAAAAAAAGTTCGCAGACCTCAGATGAAGAATCCCTGGTCTATATAGTGTAGAGAATTACATCATTTTCATCTCTAAAAATGACAGGTTTTCCCTCTCAGTTTGGAGGTATCCAATTTATGAAAGTTTAATGCTCAATTTGTTTCAATTCAACAAGTATTTTTTAAGTAATTACTATATGCCAGGCTCTATGCTATGTGCTGGTACTTCTTAGACAAAATAGAAATAGTCAAAATTAAAATGTTACATGGAGGGAAGATTTGGTTTCTTCCTATTCTCAGTTAATAGGATATAATAGTCATAGGATATAATCACAGAGAATGAGATGTTAATGTGTTAATAAGGGATCAGCATTCTATCATCTTTTTAGAAATATGAACTACTCTTTCTAATTGAGTCCAAAAGGGCAATGCTATTGGTAAACAATGATTGACTACACCCCTTAAAAGATATTGTCAAGCAGATAAGGCCAGTTTCGTTCAGAGATGTCTCGTGGAGTGTAATCATTGCAGAGAGAGGAGGTTTCTCTCTCCTCCCATCCATAGTCCATGGTGACTAACAGATGTTCTACTTTCCCCAAAACCCTATTCAGCATTTGAAGAGTGAATTCCAGAGTTTGAGTCACAATTAAGGGAGCAAAGACATACATTCTCTAGACAGACATATATACAGAGAGAACAGAAGCTGCTTTGAGGAACACGGACTCTGGCAACAAAAAAGAAAGCCAGCTGTACACTCAAGAGAGAGAGCTAGGCCTGACAATTGAGATCCTCTTTAAGGAAAGGAGTGTCCCTTGGGTGTCCAGCAAGGACTTGGTACCCAGCAAGAAGCATTGTGAGAATTCTGAAGGAGAAAAAGGACATTGAGACTCAGCAGTGAGTTTCCTTGGCCACATGCGTTCCCTCATTACCATTGTAACATTGTAAGGGTTGAGCACGCTGTCCTCATGGCCACTGTGCATTTCCAAGAGGGCTCTCCAGGTTTATGGAGAGAATGTTTTATGCTTATGTTTCTTCCTATGCTTTGAGCTAATTGTATTTCCTGGATGCCTGTTAATGGAAAACACACACATTTGTTATTGTGAGCAAGACTTTTAGATGTAGGCATCAACATGGAAACCTATGACCCAAGGTAGTTACCACCTTTTGAGGACCCCTTGAGAATGAGTGCAAGTTGGGAAAGTATAGGAGTGGGTGGATGGGGACTAAAGAATAAATACAGCATATACTATAAATAAAAGAAATACAAAATCACTTTGTTGGTTCTGGTAACACTGGAAGAATCAGCAAAATCCTCTTGGAAGAAGAGTCCTGTGATATGAAACTTGAAAGGAGCTAGGGTTTAAAAGAAGCAAAGGTGAGGAGAGAGAGCATTCCACATATGAGGGATAACCTATGTGAAGACTTGAAGATGTGAAATGGAATGCAATGTATAGGCCAGTTTGGCTAGACAGAAAGTGTAAGAGGAAGGCTAAGTCTAGAAAATTTAGGCTGGAGCCAGCTTA